TCTCTCTCATTTTCAAATCTTAGTGGAACGAACTGAAGAGAGAAGCTGATTGGTTGCCATGGGCAACTGCTCCAGATTCTGTTTGCTCCCATTTTGATCAATTTCCCCCAATGTCTTTTTATCTGTTCTAGCAGTCATATGTGTAAATGAGAAGAATGGTGGGGGAGGGGAGGGGGGACATTGGGGAACCTGGACTTGGGGCAGCAGAGAGTAAATGTGACCCAGGATAAGGGGGAGATCTGAGAGAGAGACCGGGGGTGATTTACTAACCTAAACACACGCACACTAGGTGCGTGTGATTTTTACACAGCAAAATGTATTTATCAACCAAAAAGTCTCTAAAAGCATATTTCCACTAATGCCATACATGGAAAATCATGCACATGATGCATATATAATGCTGCTTCACAGTTTAGACAAAAATGGTTAGCTCATACATTTACATTCCTGCATTTATCAACGCAAGCAACACACTGTAGAGCTAATTTACACAACATCACCTTGCAATTCATGCAGGGCTTTGCACAACACACCTGCTGGATGTGTACACACTACAAAGGTGTCTAGATTCCACCAATAGATCGTGCTGGGAGGGAACACACTACAGAGGTGTATACTTGTTCGTGGCGTGTTTATAAGGTTAGTAAATCAACCCCACAGAATCTCTTTTCACTTGTTCTGTTCTATAGACTTCCTAACACTCACACAGACACACAGAACTATGACTCATCCTGCTGTCTCTCCACAGAGAGGGGAGGGGGGAGGAGGGGGAAACAGCTGATTGCAGTTTAGAGATAAGAAACACGACCCTGTGAGAGAGAGAGATGGATTGATTGAAGATATTGTGGAGGGAATTTTGAACTTCTAGGCCTCTGGCCTGTAAAAGAATCTATAAAATAAAGTATGAAATACAGCTCTGTGACTCCTAAGAATGCACACACATGTACCTCTCCATTGCCACCAAAAACTCAAAATCACTTACAAAAGGTGGAAATGTCCTTTTAAGGAGTGGCATCCATTGTAAGTAATTACATCAGCATTTGAAATTGTTTAAAAACCTTTTGACTTTAATATTTTAAGAATATTCTACTGTTCTGGTCATTGATTAGAGTTAAGGGCTTTTTGATTTCTTTAGTCCCTTCTCATTACTACCGTACCTGTATAGTTACAATGTCTCATTTGTGACATGAAATTCCTTCCACTTCCCACCAGGACCCTGTCCTTTATATTGCACTGTCACAGCTAGTTCAAAAGTCGTTGCAAGCTAGGGCAAAAACAGTTGCTTCACACAACTATTTATACATCCACCCTTCTTGGACCCTGGAAACGGGGCTGAATATTTTTTCAAAGTACCTTAATCCAATGCGAGAATCAGCTTTAGAATTCAATTGTGATATGAAAATTAGTTATCAGCAAGGGAGTATCATCATTCTGTATATTACTAGAGGTGTTGTGTTTGTCAAAAGTTTAACATTAACAACTAAACATGATGTTGAAACAATAACTGACCAACATATTTTTTTAATATTTTTGAACTTTCAATATAACTTATTTTTAATTTAATAATTTAATAAATGTCATATCTTTTGTTCGATTTTCTCAGAATTAAAATGGAATGTTTCTGATTTATAGGTAGAGAATGAGGATGCAGAAGCAAGTCCAAAATCCCAGCATCCTTTTCCACACACTACAGGCTTAAGTCACAGCCAGGAGCTGGATAGCGGAGTTGGGCGTACAGATGAAAGCACTCGCAATGATGAAAGCTCTGAACATGATCTTTTGGGAGATGAACAAACAAGCAGTGCAAATACACCAGGCAGCCAGCGTCGTTTGCGTTTCTTACGAGGAGACAACCAGCAACCTCTTCAGTATCGTGAATTTCATCATAGTTTGGACTCCCTGCTTGCAGCTGATGGATCAGCACCTTACAATGAAGTTCTTCCACCAGGTGCAGGGTTCACAGATGAGGAATATGAGCGATACAGAGAACTACTAGAAATAACATGTCACATGGAAAATGGTAATGGACCAGCCTTCCTCTATACATCACGACAGGGTGGATTAGATGTGAATCGCAATGAAAGTGTCCTACGGGAAATGGCAGTTCTGGAAGAGGAGTTGAGACATCTGGAATTTAAGTTCCGCAATGTTCTGCGTGCACAAAAGATGCAACAACTGCGTGAGCGTTGTATGAAAGCTTGGCTTCTTGAAGAGGAGGAGAGTCTGTATGAGTTTGTAGGAGGGGGTAGTGCAAACAATGAAAGTTCTACCAAGCTTCCAGACATCACTGAATTACCAGAGAGATCAGACAAGGACAGCACTAGTGCTTATAACACTGGAGAGAGCTGCAGAAGTACTCCTCTTATGATGGAGCCACCATTACCCTTGGACAGTCCCTTAAGAAGAAACAATGATCCTTCAGGAGCATTTTGCCAAGCAGCAGAAAGCCTTTCTTCTAACAGTAATATGAACAGAGGACATGGCAAAAATGTACCTCCATACCCTGGTAGTCCAGAACCAGTGCCATCCAAATTAAGATCTTTGTGTCGTGATGGAAGGCACCCAACAGAGGACAGGTTAAGAAGAGCTTCAAAACCAGGAAATGAGCTAGACAGGGGAAGCCGCGAGAACAGTCCATATCTAAGCAGGCGTCACCGCTCCCAGGGAGGGGAACGTTATCAAAGCTGTTTACAGCTGGCCCAGCCAAGAAGTTTAGATGAGTTGGATGTGGACTCCACATGTGGAAAGAATATGGGTGCATCACAGGGGGCTCATTCTCAAGCTGAACCAAGAATGGAGTGGAAGGTAAAAATAAGGAGTGATGGCACACGTTATGTAGCTAAACGTCCCGTAAGAGACCGCCTTCTGAAAGCAAGAGCCATGAAAATCAAAGAAGAGCGCAGTGGAATGACTACTGATGATGATGCAGTAAGTGAGATGAAGATGGGACGTTACTGGAGCAAGGAAGACAGAAAGAGACACCTAATGCGAGCTCGGGAGCAAAGAAAAAGGAGAGAATTCATGATGCAAAGCAGATTGGACTGTCTACGTGAGCAACAACAGCAGCAGCAAGGTGCAGAAGGCAAGGGTGAAATGAGCATTATTGCACTCAGTCACCGGAAGACAATGAAAAAACGCAACAAGAAGATCTTGGACAACTGGATCACCATCCAAGAAATGTTGGCACATGGAACACGCTCAGCTGATGGCAAGCGGGTTTACAACCCTTTGCTCTCTGTAACTACCGTTTGATCAACTAACATTCCACAGAACCAAATCAGATCTCAATGACCATCTTTTTACCACTCTGAACAGTTTCACACATTCCAACTTTAAAGGGTCACTCCATCCTAAATGGATGTCTGTTTGGTAGATTTCAGCAGGCTAGCTTTCCCACTAGCTTACATCTCTAAGGAATTACAGTGGCAAGGTCTTGATCACATTAATTCCCAGGACCTTCTACCTGCTATGGTCCTTGTAAGAGTGGCTCTTCTTAAAATGAGCCGGTAACTAGAAAAAAAATGGAAATTGAGTTAGCCTATAAAGGAATATCAAAGCGAACCTTGCAATACACAAGGAACTTTGCTCCTACCATGCCAAAATGCTGTTGAAGTCTCACTACTTTAGACAACATCTAAGGTAATGCTAAATGGTGTAAATCTCCCAAGATGACACTCAAACACAGTGTTTTTATGAAATTTGGCCTGCTCATCATTCCCCGGAATCTCACCAGAAGGAGTATGATGTCACTCTTGCCTACGTGCCCTGATCAGAACCCAGGGGAATGGTTAATATACGGTATTTAATACATTGTTAACTCTAGGTTTTTTTCCATGTTGTAGATTGTAAGAGCACAGTAAGTAAGCAGACCTTCTGTTTCTGGTGAGCTTTAATAATAGCTATCCTGCTGCCGGTGATTTTGCTCTCTTGCAGAGTTATGCTTGCCATAGTGGGGGCTGCAGGCATCCAACATACCCAGAAGTGTTGGATACTAAAGATACCAGCGGCAGCCGTAGCTCCGCAAGACTGAAGTCACCAGTGGGGTGGGGGGCGAGGTTGGTCTGGGGCAGGTATTATTTATATTTCTCAACAGGCTGGCCTTGTTTTCATTTTCTTTTTTTTACTAGCAATGGGGCTGCTTTCATGTTTGTTATATGACAAAATGTAGAAAAGATTAAACTCTTCCTGCTGCAGCATTAGGAATCCTACTTCAATTTGAGGAGAGCATAGATGGATACTCCAGCGAAATCCTGCAGCTGGAAACCCCAAGAGATATGATGCCGATGGGGGAATCAGCCAACTAGAGTACACCAATAGCTGGAACATTAATTCTGGGTGGTTTTATATTCCATTGTTCTCTTGCTTCCCATGTCTCCATATAAACATTTTGTTATGCTTTTGGGTTTTTTTCCTCAGATTTGAGCATATATAGGAGGTATTAAAAACACAGGGTGAACTTTCAAAACCAGCCATCACATGTAGATTTCACAACTATAACATTTTAGTAGCTCTTTAATGGACATTTACAGTTGTCAAGCAAAGATGAAACAATTTCTGAAGACGATGAGTAGACATTAACCTTTGTCAAACTTTTGTAGGTGGAATAAAGCTGAGCACAAATTTTATTTATTGTTATTTGGAAATATCTTGCTTTGAGGAAGAATGGTATAGCCTTATTACCATGCTGTGGATTTATATAGTCATGGTCTTTTCATGTACATTCGTTGGCGAATACAGTCGTTTAACCCATAAAATTTTAAACAAACTATACACTGCCATCTTGTGGTTAAAGAGCACATGGACAACTATACAAACATTTAGCAACAAGGTTCATAATGGAGGACAAAATAGCACAAAGGCTGTGTTGGCTGTGAATTTGGATATAACAATCTGCCTTTTAAATTGTGGACGCAACTTCACATTGTGCATCTTCGCTTTGTGCATCTGTTGTTAATGAAGTGATTGTGATTTCTGTTTAACCTTATTTATTAAGTTTACCCTAATCTGTTTGAATGTTTGCTCTTGAGAAAGATGTCTATGAGCAGGAGGTAGAGGTATTTTTACTGGAAGCAGAACAAAAATAGCTTTCTTCTTTTGTGTCGACTAATTAGCAATATGCAGTGAGAGAGACATTATCATTTAAAATTATTTAAATAGTTGGACATCAGGCAGGGTTCTAAAATAAATTTGTCATAACACAGAGCAATGCAAACTGAGCATATGATTAAAGAAATTAAAATGCAGATGTTGTCTTTAATGACAAACACATCTAAATAATCGTGGCAGCGTATATTGAAATGTAATTTTTCATTTAATAGTTTAGCTTTCTACTTCTACCAATTGCTCAACAATGTTATCCGTTATATTTGAATGAAATATTTGAATGATATTAATGTTATCCGTTACATTGCAGGACAAGTAGCAAGGTGCCATGCTTAATTTTTTTCCCTGTAATCTTAAAATTTTTCATGTGACTTAGGCTACCTATATCTCCAGATTTACTGATTATTTTGACATTTTTCACAGGAGGTAGCCTTTGGTTATGTATATTTTTATATGCACAGTTTGCATTTCCCAGGTTTGTTCTACCTTTACTTTCATTTACTTTTGTAACATGTGGTAGGACAATTATAATTTTGTTGCTACAGTTTGATGCTTTTATTCAGTTAACATACAAGTGACCCAAAGCCTTTAAAAGTAAATCGGTTCTCCACAAACAAGGCTTCACTGAAAGCTCTGAAATCCTATCCTGACTGGTTCCCTATAAAGTGCATAATAAACATATATTATGGGTGTGTGATAACTGCTTTCTTACATCTGCAGAGGAATACACTCTCTGGTGTAAAGGTAGACATAGCTACTGCACATAAGTCCCTTGGAGGCAGGCACAGTTCTGACTATGACTCCACCTATACCGTTCCTTCCCCTGCCATTCTCAGTTCTGGTTGCTGTCAAATGTTTAGAATACCCTGATGTATGTCTGTGTAAATAAGTTATTACGTTCAATCAGGAGTAATAATAACTGTAATGGTACATATATTAAGTTTAATAAGCCCTACATTTGTGTTTATCTTCTCCATTACAAAGAAATGCTGCCACCATAGAGAAAAAAGCAATTTATTAAGAATTTCCCCAAAATGGAAGCAAAAAAGTAAAATAAATAGGAAAAGTACAGGAATAGAGGGAAAACGATGCCTAAAAAACATGAATTATATTTAAATATTTTTTCTTCTTAGCTGCCTTTATCCTCTTATGCCTAGGTCAGTTCTAAAGCAAACAGGGAGGGAAACAATGAATTTGTTTTATTCTAGTTAGAAAGCTTTTGACCTGTATTGGTTAAAGGGGAAAATTTTGAAGACAAAAAAGAAGGCACTAAAATGCCTTTTACATCAACAAATCTATCAAATCTATTTATAAATGTTTTCACACAATTTTGTAATTGGAATCAACTGGAAACATTTGTGAATCATGTTTCAAAATCGTATGCACTAAATGAAGCCTTAAATACCAATATAAAAACATCCCAACCAAAAGTTAAACATACCATGCTGCAGCTATTGTGATAGCAGAACTATTTTAGCACATCTATAAGCAGACCTACTAGTAGACTCACAGCAGAATAACTCCACAACGACCCATGTGGCACTCACAGTTTGGGTAATAATTTTGTTGGCCACCCATTCAGGACAAAAAACTGCCATCATTGCTCTAAAGCAATGTAAGCATAAGCCAGAAAATGAAATTCAATTGCATTTTATAATCAAATATTATATTTGACATTTTACAGGGAAGTCTTCTTTTAATTTGCTGGAAACCTGATGAATTAATGCAATAGGGAGATGTGGATGGACTTTTTTTCATATAGCCCATACATAGTAATGTAACTTAACTGTAACTATAAGGCATTTAGATACCTTCCTCAGAGAGCATAACATACAGGGGTACAGGTACTCTTAAAAACTAGACCACACTGGGATTCATATACACACACACGCACACGCACAATCACATACAGACACATAAAGGTTGAACTTGATGGACCTGTGTCTTTATTCAACCTCAAATACTATGTATCCATAGTATCTGCATAGTACCTCCCTTGCTGTGTCCCTAGATCTTTTATTCAGAAATGGTGAACATTGTCTATTCATTTGGCAGCAGGCCAAGAGACCGAATACTGCCATCAGATTAACAGAATGGAACAGGCAGTGTTAGTACTTCTAGAAGAACAGACCTCTTTCCTGCTCCAATTATATATATTTATTTTTTGCATATTTGTGTAACCCCTTAAGACAGGAATGACACCTATATAGATACAGTCCCCTGGTTTAATACATGTGAACCTTAATTTCAGTAAAAATTTCAATAATTTCTAGCATGCACAATGAATGGCATTATACGGTGGTGGATGATCAGGCCCATAATGGTTCAAAATAACAGTGCCATATTATAAATTTATTTTCATGTCTGAACACAGGATGCAGCAGGCGGTGGCACCGTCAGGATACAGCAGGCTGTGGCACCAGTGAGACTGGCCTAGCTCCCAAAGGTTCCAATATATAAATATTTTTTGTAAATTCTGCAGCAGCAGAATGATGGATAATGATAGCAGCAGGAAGATGAACAGGTCAAATCTGGTTTTATTTTTAGAACCATTTTGTAGATATTTTCCTGTACAAGAAGAGGGGGTTAGCACGCAGCAGCAGAATGAAGATGAACAGGCTCCCACAGATTCACATTTAAAAAAAAAATATTCCAACACATTTGGAAGAGCAGGCTAGCAATGGGTTTTCCAGTTCCATTTTATGAATATTTTCCCCACACAAAAGCAGGATCAATTCATTAAATCAGTTTATGTTCCACTACCACTTATAGACAGGGTGCGGGGGTCAGCAGCAATAGCAGGGGTGGCAGGGGTCAGCAGCACTAGCAGGGGTGGCAGGGGTCAGCAGCACTAGCTCAAGAATGACTGATTCCAAAGGTTACAAAATATAAATAGATTCTAGCAAATAATCAGCAGACAGGAAAATTGAAAGATCACACCTGCAGGTCAAAGGCAGTAAAATAAACAGGCCCCCAGTTTTATTTTCAAGTATCACTCTGTGGATGTTTTCCTGTTCAAAGACAGAAAAGCAGTGGTAAATGTAATCACAATGCTCCCAATGCTTCCACTTTACAGCCACCAGAAAGTTTGATATATCTGATTAGCAGGAGCAGCATGTACAGGCGGCTGTGCGGCAGGGATGGAGAGGCTGTCACTAGTCCTAGGCTGTCACTAGGACTAGTCCCGCAGAATGTGCGGCAGGCACCGCCGGGCCGCACATTCTGCTGTG